GCACAGATTCTAATCCCAGTAAGGGTATGGCTAGCTGATGAGAGCTAAATAGCTTGAAATAGATCTATAGATCTAATAGATCTATAAATAGGTCTAAGATGGAGAGGCTAGCATGGAGGGCGGGACTTATCAATTTGGTAGACCCAGTCCTATTGGACACTGGCTGGAATAATCCATGTCTGGATGATGTCTCCATCTACTGGGAGAATAACACCAACACACAATCAAGTAGAAGACAAAACTCTAATCAAAAAACTGCAAAGGAGAAACAAATATACCCCACACACACTGGCAGAACAAAGCACTGAATATGAATAGGGTGCAAATCCTATGTTTATTGGCACTGAGGATGTTACCTACTTGCGTAATGAAAGGTTTGCAAGCAATCAAGTTCAGGAAACACTAAGGATTCCATAGTAAATGAACTGTAATCAGAAATGATTATTCAGTCCTGGGGGGAGGGGCCGATGCCGTGACGAGGCGCAATCTCAAACCTCTGAGATTGCACTCAACACTTTTATTGCTGGGGGGTTCCAACGGACTAAATCATCCTGAAGAGATGGTGGACAGGGAGATTACATCTTGCTGATCTCGGAGATATCACAAAATCTCCGAGAAAAGCAAGGCAAAGTCTTCTGCTGGCAATAAAAATTCCAGTCTATCAAGGCTGACAAAGTCACGGCAATATGGAGGAGAAGTGTTAAGCTGGTGAGAAACTTTTATTGTTTTTTAAAAAAAGAGATTGCCTATAAAATTTAAAAACTAACTTAAATCAAATAGAAGAACTTAGCGGCGAATTTGATTTTTGTAATGTTTCTGGACAGTGGTTATCTTACTTTCTAAATGTTATTTACATGGATTGATTCTAAGTAAACCTTTTCAATTGGATGGATTACACTAACATTTCTTCTGACACTCTGTAAGCTACAAATTGGCTGTTTACATCTCGACCCTTTTATTGCTTGGCTGTTCTGCCTTAAGATCTGATAAGATTGTACAGCTGTTCCTCTGTAGTTTGTTTTCGCTTGCGAGTGTGTTTCAATCTTGCTGAGCTTCTAAGAAAAAATACAACTGCGTATAAACATGGCGTCTCTTCAAGCGAAACTTTTAGCTTTGAAGAGGGTGTTTGATACAGAGGAAAAAATTGAGAGAAAATTGGACTATTTGGTGCATTTGGCAACAAAATGTGATGAACTGAGGATGTTCATCAAATACAAAATAAGAAGATGGAAATTCAAAAAATTGAAATGGAAGAGTTTGAGTCTGTTGATATTCGTGGCAATTGGTTTATTTCTGAGGGAGGAAAGAATGGAATATTCAAAGATGAATTAAATGGAGAGAAAACTTATTTCAAAGGACAGGACATAGAAGGAGAAGAAAGCATTAAAGAACTTATGGACTATGAAATACTATTTGCAAAATATTTGATAACACTGCTGAGAATTAAAGATAAGCTGACAAAGGAAACATAAGGAGGGCGTCAACATTATATGAGAGAAACTACAAACAAGAAGGTGCAAAGAGGACTCCATACAGACTTCTTTAAAAAGATGTTTGGAGAAATGGATCCACAAATGGCAGTAGATATAAGATTGTTTTGCTATTGGAGAGATACATGTTGATAGATGGAAGAGTAGAATTCAAAATTAGCTAAACCTAGTTAAATCCAGTGATAATAGGTATAGTTAAATAAAAATTAATAATGATAGTAATATGTACAATGTTGAGCTCTTATGATAAGTAATAATTGGATATAAGAAAGGAAGGTTAGAAATATTTTGGACTGTCTATAAAGATTATTAATAACAATAATAAAAAAACAAAATTAGACACAGTTAAGTTTTAACTAATAGGGGGAAAATGTTATGATATAGGATATAGTTAAATAAAGAAAGGATGATGATAATAAATTATATACATGGAGGATTAGAAAATTTTGGTATTAAATATTATGGATGTTTAGCTAAAACAGGATTTGAGGATTTAATGTTAATGGAGGATTTTATAAATAAGTAAATGAAATGCCAGCATGTGGTTATGTATTAAATCTTGGTATATTTTAGGATGAAGGACGTTTAAATAACTATAGTCAAATAAAAGTGGAGGCATAATGATGGTAATATAATAAATATTTGAGTTAAGATATTTGAATTAATATGAATTATATTTGATGACGGTGGAAGAGATGCACAAAAGCCTTTTGTAACCAGTTGATACATTTTCTACAGGATGTAAAGAAGGAGGATTTGTATGTTTGTTTTGAAAATAAAAAAATTTTTTTACAAAAAAAAAATGATTATTCAGTCCTGAGAAAGAGGAAATCCTGAGAAATTCAAAACCATCTGTCTTTATGTTTGGTGCAAGATGAGGCAGAAAGGCTTTCAATATTCTGTTATTCTACCCTATGGCAATAAAGAGCATTGCTGGAAACTTGCTAAGTCTGTTTCTTGACCACATTTTCCTTTTAGTGCTATCAATGTTAATTTGTTCTGATTGAAACTTACCTTAAGATTCATTAGTAGAAAAAATTATATTTTAGTAAATAAATATAATAGTGAGAGAGGGTTCAAGTATATTGGGTGTCAAAGTGAGAAACATCAAAATCCCAGGGGTATAATATCATTTCCTCTTTTGAAGGCCTCCCTCCTGTCATCTTCATTTATATCACTGCTCAGTCTACTTGAGTTAAATTAAAATTCAAATGTAGACAGCTATGTGGAAGATAATACTTGACCATTCCGATTTATCTCCCGCAAGAATTATCTCCTAGAAAAAATATGTATGAACTAGATTCCTAGAAACATATGTTGCCATTATTTAGGAATAGCTAACACCAAATATCAATGACCATAGATAATTAATATTTTTAGCAATACATCTTATTTAAAAAGAGTGCATAAATAAATGAAGAAAATTTTGATGAAGCAAACTAAAATCTCAAGTCAACAATAATTTACATACAGCATGGAGAAACTGTAAGACAATAAGTTGCATATTTGATTGCACAACAATATGAACAACTATTAGCCAGAAACGAATTAAAATTTATTTAGCCCTTGAGATTTCCTGATGAATTATAGAAAACAAGATTGCGTATTTTGCTTGCTCAAGATTCTGGAGCATTGCTGTTAACCAGACAATAAGATAAGGAATTTTCTAGGGACAATCTCTGTCATCTCCAAAAAGAGGATTGCAGAGGAAATAAAAAAAAAGAAATTCATCTTTAGAGTTTTAGAGAATCCAGAGTTGCGAGACAGAAGAACCAACTAAATGAGCATATTTCTTGCCACCTGGGATTTATCTAGGTACCTTTGGCAACAAATAAGAGGTGGATTTGCTCCTGGTTCGGCTGAACTGGTAGCAGCAGCGGCGAGAGGCTCCACTCACCCACCACAAGCACTGTGTAAGTGAACCGGTAGTAAAAAATTTGGAAATCCATTACTGCAACAAATTAAAATTAATCCCAGATTAGATTAAGAAAGCGTAGGGAACATTTTTATTTCCAAACAGAAATACTACAAAATTGAGGTAGCATTGCAATTTATTTTGCTGTAGGTTAGCATATATTACTTGTATTTTAATAAAGTAAGTACAAAAAGGAAGAACTTTAAATACATCTTTATGCAGTACCAACTTAAATCCTTATTTTATTTAAAAAAACCGTATTAAAAAGATTACCAGTGCAGAAAAAATAATTTTATGGCCATGCCTATATTTACAAGCTTTGCAGTGTTCCTTAGTCATGTGATTGCCACTATAGGTAGCCTTCAATTTACAACTTCAATTGATCACAAAATTTTTGTTGCTAAGCAAGACATTTGTTAAGTGAATTGACTTTCTTTGCCTTAGTAGTTAAGTGAATCACTGTAGTTGTTAATAACAGTTAAGTGAATCTGGCTTCTGCACTGAAATTGCTTGTCAGAAGGTCACAAAAGGTAATCACATGACCCCAGGATACTAAAACATCATAAATATGAACTAGTTGCCAAGCATCTGAATTTTGATCATATGGCCAGGGGATGCTGCCAGCCTTAAGTGTGAAAACAGACATGTCACTTTTTTCAGTGCCATTGTAACTTCAAATGGTCACTAAACAGTTGTAAGGTGAGGACCACCTGTACAGTCAATACACATTGTCCTGTGCCTCACTTCTTGTTTTCCTTTATTTGTTCTTTTGCAGAGTATAGATATTGGAAAGATTGTCTAAAGAGATTGCTTGCGTTTCTTTTTCTCCCGCCTTCCCTTTCTACTATATGTGAACTATCGCCCCATCTGCCTCTGCAAAGCAAGAAGATTGGCTAGGAAGGAATTACAAAGAGAAAGGAGGCACACAAACAGAAGGCGCCCCACTGTTTGTGTAGTGGGCTTGTGCTTGACATCACCAAAACATTCATTGCAATATGTATTCATCATTTTGTGCCTGTCTACTTTCTTGCAGTCCCTTCCTTTCCAGTGAATGTATATACAGACAATTATTTGCTTCTTACTAATAACCCTGGCACCAGAATGAGCAGGGAAAAGGTAGAAGAGTGATTAGAAGGCAAATAAAAGACCAAAGTGTAAAACTTATTTTGTCAGTTTTAAGCAGAAGGAGACTATACCCAGTTGATCAAAGTTATTTCTTTACTGTTACAATGCCTAGTTACAGGACTTTCATTAGACTGACTGCATTCTCTTGGGAACAGTCAGATAAGGCTTTGGGGATTCTGGAAAAGTAAGATTTTTGCCATTTTCGGCTGTGCAAACACTCTTAAGATCAGCCTGTTCACACTCCCCCCCTCCCCTAATCTAGCTAGATATTTTTACCAAATCATTCCAGGGTCTGAGTATTGTGCATATTTTGCAACCAATTTTTCCAAATGTGCAATTTCCTTGAAGAAACATGGAGACCCCAATATTTTTTCAGTAATACTTTTAAAAATTGAATCTGAACTTATTAGGCCTCTGTAAAATAAACAGCATTAAAATGTAATAAAAAGCAATCACAACTCAGTCAAATAAATGATACTAAATAGGTATATATTTATTTTCATTATTGAAAAAGTAAGTTGATATAGCAACTGCATTTATTTCTTTCCCTTTTTAAATCTACTGGGCCAAAAAAAAACCTCAATAAATTATTATCAATCACAATGTGTTTTTTTTAAATAAAACAAATATGTTTTCAAAATAATAATTTGATATTCTTTAAATTTTGATATGGGAATTTTGCTAAAAAAGTTTATTTAATATACTATCAAATAGTGCTCTTTATCTCTGAAAACCCTTCTGTACTGTTGCAGTTCCTTTTACTTCCAAGGTACAGAATGGAGCCATTTCAGATGCAAGGCACTCAATGCTGAACAGTTCATTTCATTCAAGCCAAAATCCACTAAGAAGAAAGCATGGAAACTATGACCCACTTAACTTGAGCAAACCAAACCATCACTTTCAATCTTTTGTAAAAGGTATTAAGAAAAAAATATGCAAGATCTCTCCAAGCTGAATACAGGAGACAATTTCATCCAAGAGATTTTAGCCAAATGCATACCATATTTAATCACAATAAAACCAAAATAAGAAAATTAAGTAATGACAAACACTTTGAAAATAGGCAAAAGGCAACACATTTTAATCCAACATTGTTACCTTTTTACAGCTTCTAAGGTTTCTAATTTGTTAATAATTCAATTTGGTCTGAATGTGAAATTTAACATACTAGGCTTCTGTTTAGCTACAATATATTACTGACATTTAAGAAACTGAGGATAATTTCTAATGATCTTTTCTTTTATCAAGGTGTTTTGCATCACAAAGCCATCCAGATTGGTTCATACATTCCTAAATTTCAAAGCATTCCTAAATTCCATGTTTAATCTAATAAATTTTCTTCTCTTCCTTCTCCAGCCTCCTCCTCTTCATCCTCACCATGATCACCTAAATCCCCATCATCTTCATCTTCAATCTTTAGGAGAGAAACAGAAATAAAACTGTTATTTAGTGTATTATGTTAAATGGACAACTTATTTTTAAACTTGCTAATTATTTTAATATGCTCAAGCAAATAATCAAAATGTAAATCTATCTCCTTAAGTTCAAAGAGAGCATTTCTCCATCATCTGAGACAATAATCCTTTTGTTTTATTATAGAATCTATAATACAGAATTGTATTTATGTTATTTATGACGAGAACATTACATTCATCAGGCCAAGGTCCACATTTGCCTTTGAATAGCATATTAAGATTAGATTTCATCAAAAGAAAAAGTTGGTCAAGATGCAATTGAATGAATGGCTAAATTGATTTGTTTGATCAGAGGGGAAAAGACAACTATTTTGTATAAAAGATTGGAGAAACTTTATGAACTTTTTGCTTAAAACAGATAAAAGGATGTTTTTTCGGTTTATCAATTTTTAAAAAAGCTTACATGAGGAGAAAGGAGCTTATGTCATATAATTTTAAAGGGGAGAAAGGTATTAAGTGTCTATAACTGCTGCGAAGGAGATCATTTGCTTCTTTTAAGTATTTTCTTTTTCTTCTATTGTTTTCAACACTTTCTTTTATATATCTTTTCTTTTCTACTGATTCAATTTTGTAAATAAATTATTTAATGACATATAAATAAAGTTGCATAGTAAATTTTAATTTATGTTTATACAGTTCTGCAGATGTATAGTATAGAATCTCTAGTTGTAAAATTAGTTGCCCAAAGCTACACATCACTGAGAATACTGGTAGCTATCAGAACATAGTACTGGATTCTCTACTGTTCCCTTTTAGAGCTCAGAAGCCCATTTTTGCTGGAAGAGTGCTTAAGCCACCATAACATCCCCCCCCCCATACACACACGAGTCATGTCGAGCTAGTCATGCCCTCCTGGCCAAGCCCATCCTGGCCCCCTGATGTCAAACACAACCCTGATGTGGCTCTCAATGAAATTGAGTTTGACATCCTTGCTGTAGAGGATAAAAAGTAGAGGAGCAGTGCCTCCAGTTAACACCTTTCACATTTTGCTGATAATGGTCCAGAGACTTTTTCTCTTCCTATCTTCTCTCTTCCTGTCTCAGATAAGGAAACATTAGCACCTTAAGTCATTGGTTACCATTCTCACTCTCCAACTTCCAAAGCATGCAGGGTTTGCCCGGAGGAAGTCAAAATTACCAATGTGGCAGTTAAACCACATTCTTTTAGAGCGGTAGTCTTCAAAACTGATATACTCAAACAACCCATCTCAATGTGAAAAGTCAATCTGTAACTCATTAATTAACATATTTCATGTAATATATTTTATTTTAACAAAATGTTAAAATTAGTGTTGCAGTACATTTCATGCAAGGTAAACCAAGACTGAATGCTGAAACCCTGGGCGATATCATGAAATTCTGATGTTCCAGGGAACACAGTCTGAATGCCATAGTTCTCTGAAGGAACTTGGGGACACAAAAACAAAAATATAGCTTTGTTATACATCTAAAGTCATACAACAAAAGATGATAAATTTAGCCCTAAATTGTTCCAGAAAAGAAACTTCAAGTCTCACATCTGATTTTGCAAACTTTGTATCTTACCGGTTCTCCAAGTTCTTTGAGTTTTTTCTTTAATTCAATTATTTTCTGATCCTGATCAGCCAGAAGAACCAGAAAATCATCTTGTTCTTTTTTAGATACTGCAAGTTCCTGCTGCAGTTTGCTTTTTTCATTTTTCAAAATTGCCACTGTGCTATTGGATGATTCCAATTGCTGTTTAAATGAAGTCTTCTCTTCACTGAGTCTTGCAATTTCATTCTGGCATGGAAAAGAAAAAAATATTACATTCAGAGACACGTTACTATCAATGAAAAAGTTGTGTCTGGAAGGATATGCTTCATATACCATAAAACTCAATCTCATTTAAGGTTATTTAAGTATTCCATATAAATGGTCATGTGCAATGCTTTATTGACTCTCATCTAAAATCTTTTTTTTTTAGACGTTTATGCTTCACATAGTTGATCTTTACTAGATTTTCAATATCTATTTCTCAAATGCTCTGTCCATTTTTAGAAACTTGACAAATGATTTTAGAACAGATCTTCGAAGATGGAAGAAAATAAAATAAAATCTCAGCATGCACGTCTTTTGATATCTCAGTGTACTGTATATTACAGTATAACAGTTTTATGATGACATATAATTAAGATTCCAGCAATAAAAAATTGTGACACTACATATTTTAAAAGTACTTTTTTGACCAAGTTTATGGGCAATAAGACCCTACATGTCTTGCCTGGTTAAAGACTTTAATGTCAATGCCTAAACATAATCTGTAAGAGGACATCAGCAAGAAGCAAATTCCCTTCATAATCAACAATGAAGATAATATTTTTTTCTCTGGAATGCCTATTATAATCAGCAGTTAATTCATCAATCATTACATCCAGACACTTAAACAAATTGTAAAAAGCATTTTGTGCCAATAATTGAATAAGACTGCAGTTATAAACTATAGACCTGGGATGGCGAACCTATGGCATGTGTGCCACAGGTGGCACGCGGAGCCATTTCACAGGGCACGCTGACAACTGAGTTCAGCCTTTTTAAAGCCATTTTTTGCCGTCCCCAGGCTCCAGAGGCTTTATAGGAGCCTGGGGAGGGCGAAGGCTCCGGAGGACTAAAAATGACCCTACAAGCAAACCGGAATTCCTCTGGAGCCTTCAGGGAAGCTCCTGAAGTCTCCAGAGGGCCTC